AAAATTAGTGGACCTTTGCCTTCCATCAGATGGGGGAACAAATACTTTATAACTTTCATTGATGATTTCTTACGATATGGATATGTTTACTTGACTAATGGTAAATCACATGTACTTGAGAAATTCAATATTTTCAAAATGGAAGTAGAGAAACAATGTGGAAAAGTATCAAAGTTGTAAGATCTAACCGTGACAGTGAATACAATGGCAAATATGATGAGTCACGTCAAAACTTAGGTAATTTTGTGTAAAAATTTTACAAGAGTGTGGAATAGTGCTTCAATACACCATGCCAAGGAAAAATGAATATAATGGTGTTTCTGAAAGACGTAATCGAACTCTAAAAGATATGGTCAGGAGCATGATGAGTAGAACAAATTTTTCTGGATATTTGTGGGATGAAGCTTTGAAAATTGCTATGTATATTTTGAATAGAGTTACAAGTAAAGCTGTTGCAAAGACACCTTTTGAATTATGGACATGAACGCAAGCCAAGTTTGGCTCATTTTAGAGTTTGGGAATGTCCGGCTGAGGTTTAGATTTATAAATCCATTTGAAAAGAAATTAGACACGAAATTCACTCCTGGTTACTTTATTGGGTATCTGGATCAAAAGAACATAAATTCTACTGTCCAAATCGTTGCACCAGTTGAGTCCATTACTGCAAAGTTCTAGAGAATGAAAGAATGATTTTGAAGATAATGGGAGTTCTACATTGAGAAGACCTTTTGTTGAACCAAATCAAATTGTTGTTCCAGTTCCTATTATACAGGAAACAATTAGTTCTCAACCAATTGAAGTTGCTAATGAAAAACCAAAGAATGAAGAGGAACTTCCAATTCCTACTTCGAAAATGATTGAGTCAATTTCTAAGCCACAAATTAGGAGATCACGAAAGAAAAGAAGATCAGCATTGCCCAGTGATTACATTATATATTTATTGGAGAGGGATTTTAATATTTGGCATATTGTTGATCCTGTTAATTATAATCAAGCGTTGACAAGTCCTAAGGCAGATAAATGGATAAATGCTATGGAAGATGAAATGAATTCTTTGGAACAGAATAAAGTTTGGAAACTTGTTGAACTTCATCCAGATGCCAAAGTTATAGATAACAGGTGGATCTCAAAAGTAAATGGGATTCGAAAGGGAATGTTAAATGAAAGAAGGCAAGATTGGTTGCAAAAGATTTCACTCAGCGAGAGAGCATTGATTATATTGAAACATTCTTATCTGTCTCGTCTAAAGATTTTTTTTCGAATTATCATGGCACTTGTGGCACATTATAATTTGGAGCTTCATCCGATAGATGGTAAGATAGTATTTTTGAATGGAGATCTTTCTGAAAAGGTTTACATGAGACAACATGAAGTTTTTGTAGTGAAAGGAAATGAAAACTTGGTATGCAAGTTAAACAAATCTTTATATGGTCTCAAACAAGCATCTTGACAGTGGTATTTGAAGTTTGACGAGATTGTGATCTTTATTGCTTTTGTCTAAAATATAGTTGACCAATGTATTTATCTCAAAACCAATAGGAGAAATTTTATTTTTCTTATCCAGTATGTTGATGACATTTTGCTTGCTAACAGTAACTTAGGGTTGATTTATGAGACAAAGATAATGTTGTGTACTAATTCTGAGATGAAAGATCTTGGAGAAGCTTTCTATGTGCTTGACACTGAAATACATTGTGATAGAAATCATAACTTACTAGGATTTTCTCAGAAGGCTTATATACGATGTGTTTTAGAAAAGTTTAATATGCAAAATTGTGTACCTCATGATGTACCTATCATAAAAGGGGATAATTTTAACAATGCCCAATGTCCAAGAAATGAGCTAGAAAGTGAATCTATGTAGATGATTCCATATGCTAGTGCTGTAGGGAGTTTGATGTATGCTCAAGTTTGTACTAGACCGGATATTGCCTATGCATTCGATGTCTTTAATAAGTTTCAATTGAATCCAAGATAAGAGCATTGGAAAGTAGCTAAGAAAGTTATGAGATACTTAAAAAAACTGAAGGTTATATGCTAACATTCCAACGTTCAAATCATCTTGAGGTCGTAGGCTATTCAGATTCTGATTTTGTTGGATGTTAAGATGAATTGAAATCAACCTCAGGTTATATTTTCACTTTAACCGGTGGTGCTATCTCTTGAAAAAGTGCTAAATAGACTCTAGTGGCATCTTCTACTGTGCAGGCTAAACTGGTGGCATGTTATGGGGAATCATATACATGTAAAGAACTACGTTTTGGGCTTGATCCATTTGCGTGATACGTAGGCAACTCATATGTTTTCAGGTACAGCCTCTTCTAATAATAAAATATTTCTCCCCTATCTATGAATTATTTTGAGCATGCATTTGACTTATGTATTTTATTATGATATTATTGTAATCTCGAGATATGCAGATAAAGACATAAAAGAAGTCTCTTTTAAAGATATGTGGCTATATTTTGATCTGAAGCATTATGAGGGCCGATATGAATTAGCACAATTTTATATAGCATTTGGTGATAAGTTCATACCACATACTACTTCATTGGTTGGAGGATGGGGCTCCATGTCAATAAGGATGTTGACATTTGTAGCTGTGGAATAGTCTTACATTGCTTAATTGGGGTAATGACTTCCATGTTCAGTGTTAACATTTTTGTCGGACCGGATCATGCTGAGTAAAGTTTTATCATTGGAGCTATACTTTTGTGGCCATCTATGTAGTCTAACTCGAGTGTTAAAAATTTTGTTATAGCAATCAAATGTTTGCTCAAGTGGGAGAATGTTGGAATAACTCTAATGTGGGCTTCTCCTTTAAATATACACAAATCAGGTCATAAATCATAAATACATATATATATATATATATATACACATATATATATGTGTATATATATGTGTGTGTGTGTGTGTGTATATATATATGTATGTATATGTATATATATATGTATATGGTATGATTACAAACGGCTCCTTAAAATAAGTAATCTATTACTATTTCTACTGAAATCTCGGTCACAAATCAATGCAACATCCCAAAAAAAGAAGCTCGAGCAATCGTAGGAAGAAAATTATTCACATTACCGGAATCGTATTCGATAGCAATCGGAATTAATTGATCCATAATCAAGCAACCTTCGTTCTTCTATAATCTGGGTTACAATCAGGTGTGTGATTCCAATTTTGAAATCCTATGACGCTGTATTCATCGTGTGGGTTCGAATTCAACCAATTCATGTTAGGGCATTACGATTTACAGATAGTAGCCTATGTGACTCAGCTGCATTATGATTGTGGACGTCAAATAATTACGTTATTGATAGTTACACGTGTGACCGATCTCAATACATAGCATGAATTTCAATGTGTGACCGTCACAGGTGATTGGGATTGACTGCATGTGGTAGAGTTCTACGCATGATACAGAATTTTTTGTATGTGACCTTGAGTTGTATATGAAATCATACTTTATGTCAGTGCCAAGAACTATATAAATGTGACCATAGCAGATACCTTAAACTGATATGTGACTGATTTGTTCATATAAATCCTGCGATTTTCCTTTTGAATTTTGCAGAAATGGGATATGTGCACGTTTGCTTGTTATACAGGTCACAGTCAGCTTGGTGATGGTTGATCATAATTGTTCTTATATAAAGCTTGTGGAAACAGTAGTGACAGAGTTCAGTCTAGATCCTACTAAGGTAGCTGTCACAATGACTTACACACTGAATGTTGATCTGCCTCCGGTAAGAATAAGTAGTGACAGTAATGTTCGAACATACGTGACTCCAAAAACCGTAGAGCCTGACCCGTCAAAGTAACCCCGTAAACATTGAGGTGACAGCTACAGAAATAGGGTATGAATCGCTCAGTTCTATGTTAGACAATCCAAATGCTCTTTATGTGCAATCTAGTGCAGGGGTGTATTCGTTGCAGAATATAACAACTGACATATATGATGCAGTTTTAGAAACTTCCCATCGCATGGATGAAAATTTGGTCACAATTGTTTCCATTCCTGATGCAATGAGTATAGAAGAAGGCAGAGTGTTTCGTAATAAGGATGTTTTGAAATTGAGCATGTCTTTCTTTGCCATACAAAATATGTTTGAATATGTGGTAGTTCGATCAGATAAGAAGGAGTATCTAGTCAAGTGCTCACATGATGACTACAGCAGGATATGTAGGTCTTCAAGGTTGGGAAAAACATAGATTTTCAAGATTCGAAAGCTAACCGATGGTCATACATGTGCTTCAAAAATAGTCCTAGAAGCTCACAGGCAAGTCTCAACATCTGTGGTGTCCTCATGCATCAAGTATAAGAATACATCATTACGTACTGTATACACTCTGAACGATATATGTAACGACATGTTGCATACATATGGGGTCACAATGAATTATGTTAAATCTTGGAGGCCTCGGGAAAGAACTTTGAAACTAATCGGGGAGATCCAACAGAGTCATTTCGATAGCTACTAAGCTACTTTTATATGCTTGAACAGACAAATTCTGGAATGGTGACAAAGTTGGAAGTCGATGGTCACAACAGATTCAAGTACTGTTCCATGGCACTTGGTGTATCGATTGAAGGATGGGTCCACTATAGGCCTGTAATAGTTGTGGACGGCACGTACCTGAATGGGCACTACGGAGCAACTCTATTTACAGCTTGTACACAGGATGCTAATAATAGCATCTTTGTGCTTTCATTCGGTGTTGGAGATAACGAAAATGATGCATCTTGGAGATGGTTTTTAGAAAACCTTAGGGGTGCTTATGGTAATAGGGAAAGACTTTGTTTTGTATCAGATAGGCATAACAGTATAAAGAATGAAGTCGAATGATTGTATCTGGGTACAAGCCATGGAATTTGTACATACCATTTGCTACAAAATTTGAAATCACACTTTAGTAAATCAGGTCACAATATAACGCAACCATTCAATTTGGCTATTCATGCATACACTTTGTCAGAATTTGAGTACAATATGCAACAGTTGAACACAATCAACAAGAAGATTAGAGGTTACCTGGTAAGGTTTTAGTTTCGTACATGTACATACTGTCCATAAAAGGTGTACGCCTTCCAACCTAATAATGTTTTGGCTTCGCAGGATGAAATTGGACCAGAACGGCTCCACATGCCTACAAATAGGTACTCCACGATGACCTCTAATATAGTGAAATCCGTCAACGCAGTCACAAAAGCAGTGAAGAACTATCCTATTATAGCGTTGTTGGATTCATTGCGACAAACAACACAATCTTGGTTTTGTAAGAACAAAGACACGGCATATGGCACATTCACAAAGTTGTCCACCAAGTACGAGAAAATGATGAGAGAAATGAGCACATCTTTGAGGAACATGAGGGTGACAAACATATCTGTTACATTACATCATATACATATATATGTGACTTGGTAGAATATCCAATATGTACGATGTTTGACCTGACATTATCATTTTCTTTGTTCGTAGGTATCTCCAGCAAACCAAACAATATTTTCGGTTGCTGATGATGGATCATCATTTGTCATTGATATAGAGAAACGAACTTGCACATGTCGGATGCTTCAAGTTAATAAGATGCCATGTCCACACGCATTGGCTGTAATAGCAACAACTAAACGGGATCCGTACGATTATTGTTCGTACTTCTACACCAGTGAAGCGTACATGAATGCATATCAATACATAGTATACCCAATCGAGAGTCCAAATGAGTGGATTGTGACCCCAAAAGTTGAAGACGTAATTGTCCTGGCACCTAATCAGAAAAGGAGATCAGGCAGACCAGCTGAAAAGAGGAGAAGATCGTGCATTGAGGGGAAACAAATGGTGAAATGTGGACGTTGTGAAGGAAGTGGTCACAATCACAGGACATGCAACAACCTGCTTCAATTAGTGAAAAAATAATCGAAAATCATGTGAAATGTTAACGATATCGACATTTTAGTGTTCATAACTTTGGTTCGTTAGGCCCTTACATATACACAATTTAGACTTACATTTTCATTGATCTGTGACAAAACAAAATATGCAAATTAACTTCTCACATTAACATTAGTACATTTTCCTTCTATCCATGAGATGTATGCATATATCACTTTTAACAGCAGCTATGCAGACATATGACTTGTGACATGTGACAGCAGCTGTGCAGATATATTAAATTTCGGGACCTATTTGTGATATGTGCATAGTCATGTGACCCAACTTGTCGCTAACAACTGTGACCAAGGAATACAGATCGAAGAATGTGACTGCAACCTAATTACCTATGCACATGTGCACATAGTGATATGATTCTTGGACGTGTACACATAGTCACTTAGCATGTGATGTGTGACTTGTGCAAAAAATACTGTAACCCAATTCAACAGTGACTTGTGTACTTGATACATTGACCGATATATGTGACCATCCTCAAAAAATCTTTGACCTGTGTACATAATACTGTAACATGTGATATGTGACCCATTTCACAAATGTATGTGAACTGTGTACAAAAACATGATAAAGGTTTGTGACCTATGACACAGACATCTGTGACCTGTTTCAAAAACATCTGTGACCTATTTCACAAACATCTATGACCTGTGATGACCCAATTCAAATTAACTGTGACTTGTGTACTTGATTTTGTAACCTATGTACAAAAATACTGTAACATGTGATATGTGACCCATTTCACAAACATATGTGACCTATGTACAAAAACATATAGAACTCTGGTCTATGACCTATGTTATATATATATATATATATATATCTTGATTAAAAACATATGTGACCTGTTTCACAAATATCTGTGACCCGTTTCAAATATGTCTATATTAGAAACATATGTGACATGTTTCACAAACATTTGTATTAAAAATATATGTGACATGTTTCACAAACATCTGTAACTTCTCATCTGTGGCCCGTTTCAAATATGTCGGTGACCTGTGAGCATAACAGTCTATGAACAAATCAACACTTTTACCAGAAGCATTCACCACACCGACAACAAGACATAAGCCAAACGATCATACGGGAATTGTCATATATACAATTCTCAAAACCATAGGCAAGCTGTTTTGTTTTCATTAATACACTTAAAACAACAAGTCATTTCAAGTTACATGAACAAAATAAACTCCAACCACTGCAGAAACATAAACCACCAAAATGTATTCTAGCCACTACACAAAATGTCTACAGTCACTCTATGATAATTCTTTCTCCCGTCGATTGAACCAACTGAGTTGGCTTCTTAATATCCTTGTGCTTAAACAATCAGGTGGCAACGTCCAACCTAGCTCGACTCGCATCAAAATTCATCGGCATGGACTTAATGTCATCTAGCATGTACTCTACATACTTAATGACGAAGATACCACAATCATGACTGAACAACAAATTCAAGACGTAACATATGAGAAATGACAGTTTGAGTGAAAATTTGGAGATAAAAAACAATTCATAAAAAGGAAAAATAAGTCACAAAGTTGTACCCAATTTGTTGATGTGGAGTGTCATCTACGAGCAATACCCTCAAAACAATTGGATCTTTGCTCGGATCAGTAGAGGTTCTTTTCTATATGCCCAAAGCAAACAACAATTTCGGGATAACTCTGACTAAGGGGTCAACCCCGAGCAAAACCATTTTCTCACGGTAAGTCTTATAGCTTGAGATGTATATGTACATCTTATGGTTTTTTATGTCAAGTTTACAGAGCATCCAATGTGTATGATTGATTGGCAATATTGACAAAAACACATAATCAACTTCAGACCAAGAGCGATTGAATTCTAAATTTCTACCAGTAACAACGTCAACAATGTATTTATCCGTCAATATCACATCTGAATCTTTCTGAAATTGGGGAAAAATGTTTTTTATATTAGCCTAGAACAGACAATCAATTGTGGTAGCACACAATCTTGTATCTTGACTTCTCAGGGCAAACTGTCGCAGATAGTGAAAACAGATGTCCATATGCTGTAAAATGTGACAAATAGTTTAAAAGCACGGAAAGAGTGACTTATAAATGCTGTAAAGTCTGGCACACGTTTAATGTGCCCCACATAGAAGACTGGTGACTTGTGAATATTGAAACCTCCGATCTGTGATCCATTTCAAAACAACTGTGACATGTATATATAATATTGTGACCTGTGATACATTTTATGTACTTCAGTGACATGTGCACACTGATGTGATCAGTGACGAAATTTCAGGAATCTGTGACCTCTGCATGTGTGATCTGTGACCCCATTTCACTGATCTGTGACCTGTGAGTGTGTGACCGGTGTACATAATCTTGTGACTTGTGATATGTGACCAATTTCAAGGATCAAACCGTGCTACTCAATGAAGATTCTGAATCTATAAGTTGATGCCACCAGGTTTTTGACCCCACAGGAATTGAACCGAGTACAAAAGGTGGACGAATGATATCATCAGCATCATTAAACTTCTTTCTGAAACAGGAAAACAACAGCTACATATAAATTAAAACCCCAGATTACCCAACTTCATAAATAAGAACACACGACATCAGATTGTACATACTTGTTCCATGGTTTATAACCTCTGTTAAACTAATTTTGAAATGCAACAACATTAGCCTCATCCGCATGCTTGTCATACTTGTCAAAAACAATAGCATCATCAGAATGCTTAATTTGTTTTCCAGCATCGGTAACATACGGAAACTGTAGTATCCGTGTGGATTTGGGGGCTCTCTTAACTGGCAGACCTGATGTTGGTGTGGAAGGAGAAGACCCCTGCATGCATGTCGGAAAACAATGAATGCATTGTTTGAATAAATATATTTGTGCAGACAATATATTATGTGACCATATGAAATACTTGATCCTCATTTACGGTCTTTGTCGCTCCATCACCCTACTTCTCAATTTCACAGTCCTTCACCATACCAGCTATAATAGCATCAGCCTCATTAGAAATGATTGGTGTTGAAGCAACACCCAAATCGAAAGACGGGGTCGGAGGAAATGACAGATATTCAATTTCGTCAGCTGGGTCCATCTCGCCCTTACCTTTCCTATCGATATGTTGTTGAATGTCTGTAACCTGTTGTAACACTATTAATAGACAACTTAAGGTAATCACTACAAAAAAGGATTTCAATTACAGAATTACGTACCTTCTCCTGCTGTGGTACATCTCCAATATTGTGACCTTCACTCTTCTCAATTGCTTTTGCTACAATTGCATCCATCGTGCTCGATATTAAAGCGGTAACAGAATCGAACAAGAATGTCATCCTCGACCGTATTTTCGCCATGTCCAATCGAATTTCACCTTGGACACGGATATGGTGATCAATCTGATTGCTCCTATCTCGTTTTAAGTCTAATAGTTGGGACTTCAGGTCCTTGAGCTGCACTGTTAACTCTTTATTAGTACACTAGAGTTCAGTCATCTGTCCACGTAACTTCGCTTTCAACTTTTCAAACTCCTGTATGCAAATAATTGCAAAATGGTTATGTCACATTATTGTGATTTGTGACCAGTTCAAATATATAAGATATATGTTTGGGATTTGTGAAACAATAATGTGAGATAAAAACATATTTCTCAATAAACTGTGACCAGGCACTAGTTCGTGACCTTATTCGAAAAATCTGTAACCTATACACACAGGTCTACTGCTCGTAGAAATATGCGTGATCTAATAATTTAACACATTGTTATGTGACCTGGGATTGGGACATAATTGCCGATATTGTGACTTCATAAATAAAAAGACTAGATAACTTACAGATGGTTGTGGTTCATCATCTGCATGAGTAGCCTGCGGCTGGGGTGAAGTATGGATGTCATACCCCTCTGGCTCCATAGGATAATATTCCCGCATTGCATGCTCCTCAATAGGTGGGTGGAAACGGGAAGGTGTCTTTTTCCTTTTCGGAGGTGTATCAACAAAATCATCGTCGTCATCATCATCTTCAACATCACTTAAATGCCCTTTACATCCATCTGTAATCATTAACAACCGTGGTCTATTTGGAGATTGGGCATGGACACTCGTGCCTGCATCGCCCATATTTCCAAATTGCATGTCCTCTCATATATGTGGTCGCAAAGGTTTCTTGTACAAAATGCCTTTCATATATGGAGCTACAATTTCATCATCAGACGGAACAATGTAACGAACTTCAATCTGCAACAGTGATATAATTAATAATCATATCACTTATCTATGAACATATTGATTATCAAAGTTTGGTGACATAAGCATGTTCGGTGTCATTATCACGCGATGGAAACTTGATGACATCACACGGTGAATGTAGCATATATTTCATGTGTGTGATCTGTGAAACATGCAATGACCAAATCATGTGTGGCTAATGTGTACATAACTGTGACAGATTTTCAAAGATGGCTCATTTTGTGGCTTGCCGGAAGACAATGGATGCTACCGGATTGCTCATCTTCACTTCAGAGATTGTGCGTTTACATGGTGTTCCACAGTCAATTACTTCTGATCGTGACACTAAGTTTATGAGTCATTTCTGGAGGAGTTTGTGGGAGAAACTTGGAACGAAATTAAATTTTAGCAGCGCATACCATCCCCAAACAGATAGTCAGACTGAGGTGGTGAATCGGAGTTTGGGAAATCTTTTGAGAAGCTTAGCCGGGACTAAACCGAAGCAGTGGGATTTGGCATTACCTCGAGCAGAGTTTGCTTATAACCGGTCGAGGAATAGAACCACCGAACTGAATCCTTTTGAAATTGTCTATGGTCGGAACCCATCCACAGTACTTGATTTAGCTCCACTTCCACGTGTGGGTCGCTTCAATAACAAAGCTGATGAGATGGCTGAACATCTTTGAGGTATCCATGAGCAGGTGAAGCTGTCAATACAGGATAGTAATACTAAGTACAAAGTTCGGG